GGCTGGTGATGGGGAGTGGAGGGGTGGGCACGACTACCCTGGGGTCAGCCTCGAGGTCTCTGGGCTTAACAGAGTAAGCCCTTTGTCACCAATGCCCCTGGAAGGGCTGAGGGGAAGGTACCAGACACAAGAACAGCTCTGATGTCCCTCCGCCCAGCCGCCGCCACCACCGAACGGCACATTCAACCTCAAGGTCACAGCTGCTCTCTCCCCACTGCCCGGTCCCACCTCTGCAGTCTCTCACCCCAATCACAGCCCTCGCCAGAGCAAGCATGCACCATCCCACTCGACCCATATGCACCCGGCTCAGTCCAGCCAGCCGCTCATTCAGCCTGCGAGGCTCTGGACTTCTGGCCCCCTACCTACAATAGCAGGCTCCCCTTCAGGCCCCCACGAACCTCTCCTCAGACACAACCACACCAAACATCAGCTCTCCTCTTCAAGATGCCCCTCCACCCCCTGGACCAGGAGGCCCTTTCTGTTCACAACCCCAGCAGAGCCCAGGGGCTCATCCCAAGGCACCTGCCTGCTTGTGTGAGGCTCTATGGTTCCTGTCAGCCCCACCCCCATCCCACCCACCCCCACAAGCCCAAAATATTCTACTCACTTTGCTGCCATGGCAAGGGGGTACTGGAAGCCATACTGCTGCTGGGCGGAGGGGGTGGCGGAGGCTGCTGCTGCTGCTGTTGCCATGGGGGAAGAGGACCAGAGGGAGGGGGTGGGGGCTGCCCACTGGGAGGCGGCGGCGGTGGCGGCATCATGCCCATAGGTGGCGGCGGCATCATACCTGCGGGTAGGTGGAGGTAAAGATGAGGCCTCAGGGAAAGGGGGGAATTTGGGCCAGAGCCCCCACTCACCCAAGCCTAGGTGAAGACCCACAGTCAGCAGACAGCCATTACCTTTTCCTTGATGCAGGCGATAGACCCCAGAGCCCACAGGCGTACTTCCCAGGTACTGATCTTGATGGAAGGAAAGAGCAGGGACTTAGCAGGACATTGGAACTGGCCAGAGAAGCCACCCCTGTGATAACCTGAGTTGCTATCCTTACGCGAGTTCTGAAAACCATGCCTGTAAAAGGCAGGTCTGTGCCTACCCAACACAGCATCACTCCCTGAACCAGAATGGAATCTTGCTCCTTCCAGAGCCATAACCCAAGCAAGTCAGGCAGATCTGGCACATTGCCCAGCTACTTGAGAGTTGCTTCTAGCAAACAGTGACCTGACATAACCCCTTGCTTATCCCAAAGCCCCAAGGTTTCTGGTCTGACACTTACTTACCCATTGGAGGAGGGCCATGGTGCCCAGGAGGGTGGGGGCCCTGGTTCATCGGTGGTGGTGGTGGCTGCATCCAAGGGGGTGGGGGTCCATTGGGGTTGTGCTGCATGGGATGTCCACCATGCCCACCTGTCAGGCTGGGTAATGGGTGTGGGAAGCTGTGGGGGCCACCTCCGGGCCCACCAGGACCACCTCCATGCATGCCATGGTAGGGCCGACTCTCTGAAGGGCCAGAATTCATCCAGGGTGGGCGGCTCTGAGTGGTAGACATAAGAGACTACATGAGAGCATTTCCCGCCAACGTCCCTGCCTGTGCCCCCTAGTGGCAACATTGTTCTTCTGGTAATGCCACAGGACCAGAACACAGTAACAAGGTCTTCCCAAAGTGAGAAGTCCCCAAACTGGCCTGAGATCCCGGAAGAACAATGTTGCCATTCACATCCATCTATCGGCTCTACCCAAACCACGTGGCCATAGCTCCCAGTCTCTGCAGTAGAGAATGGAGAAGCCAGACCAAGAGAACCAGCCCCCAGGCTCACCGGTGGAGGTGGGTTGTTGGCGGGAGCAGCAGGACGAGGTGCACTGGCCAAGGGTGTGGTGGCAGGCCCAGAGGTAGAGCCCACAGATGCTGGGACAGGTGCTTCACCCAGTTCAGCCATGAGGGACAAATATTCTTTATCCATTCGTGCTTTATCCTGAGCTGACTGGGGATCACCAGGCCTGAAGTGAGGTGAGGGACACAAACAGAGAAAGGGGAAAAATTTGTTAAGAAGGAAGCTTTTATCCTGAGGAACCAATATAAACTTTTGAAGAATTCAATCACCAGATCATCACACATCTTTCTAACCCCTTACTGGGCATGGCTCTCAACAGTCTCATTAGATCTTCAGTTTCGTGCCCAGTTCTGCATCTGGGATCACCAGAGCAGAGGGGCCCTGGGTGAAGAGCACAGGAGACCCTGACCATCGAGGAAGCACAGGTTCTCTCAAGTCAATTTCATCAAAATTTATTCCCAGTTTGAGGAAAGGAAAATCTATGCAAGACTGGCACAACTGCCAGAACGAACTTCCTGAACAAACCTTTACATATTTGCCAGTTAGTCAAAAAGTGTTGATATCCAGTGCTGACTTGCGACTGGTCAGAAATCTGTAGAGACTGCTTAGTCTTCTTGAACCAATTCTGAACAGCAAAAGCAGTGAATTTCCCACTGAGCCCCAATGAAAACATTTATACTGAAAATAGAAGCTTCCAGTTTTCTTGGGGTTAAGACAAACGGGTATCTGTACAGCCTATTTCTAATCATCCTGGGCTTTAAATCACACCATTACAGACCACACTAACAGAAAGGATGTTTCTCTTGGTAAGATTAACAGCAACCAATTAATGTGACAAAAGAGTTGTCCTGCACATTGCAGGCTACCAGGAAACCGCAAGAGCCAGCCCCTCACCTTTGGAATTTGCAGTCTGAAGCAATGTGGCCAGCCCCTCCACACTTGGTACACACTGTGGTGTTGGTAATGCTGCGGGTCTCTGAGCTCTGCCAGGGTCTTAAGATCCTATTAAGGGAAAAAGAGGTCAATGCAAGGGGACAATCTGTACTTCCACAGGTTCTTCAGGTCTCCACACACTCTCCTTTAAACTGATCACATACCTGTTGTCATCTTCCCGAAGGGTCCCATTCAAGCGAGCCAACTCCCGAAGCTGCATCTTCCGTAGATCATTCTGGTCCTCTGGGGTCTCGATACCCTGCTTCAGGATGTTTCTTATCTAGTGAATATGCAATGAACAGTTAAGTGCTTAGGGCTTCCGCCTAGGTTTCTGCCAAGAGGCTTCCTTTCTGGGCTCACCACTCACCTGTTCCACTGCCTTTTTGACGTTCTCCATTGTGTTGGCGGTGACCAGGGCATGAAGTGGTTCATCTTCTCCCGGCAACATCTGGCCATCTTTGCGCCCAACCTTCCCTTCTTTCACAGACCCTTTCCCCCGGATCATAATCTTGGCATTGCACTCCTTCTCTATGTTCTTCAGGGTGTTCCCTCTATAGAAAGGCAGAAATGACTGAGTTTATACCTGACAAGTTCATACTCAAGAGGGAACAGAGGCTGGACCAATTTGACACTGGTGGGAAACCAGAAGTACAGAGAATTGGATTTTCCCACCAAAAGCTCCATGAACTCTACATTACAGTCAGCCACAGTAAACCTGAGGATTTGACTTCTCCGCACTAGCGCGGAAGTTAAAACACCTTCTCACAGAAACGCATTAATTCAGTCAAAATGAATGTCCTACCAAAAAGGGGAAAAGCAAGCCAACACTACCCAATTAGGCACAAAACAGACACATCTCAGAGGCTCTAAAGGAATTCTATATCCTATAGACTAGCAGTTACTCACCTGGGCCCGATTAGCAGCCCCACAAAGTTGATTTCTGGGTACTCATCTTGTGGAATCATGACTTTATCGCTCACACGTGTTGCTGGAGGTCTAAGAAAGAAAAGCCTGTCACTGCACACATTTCTGGAGAATGACGCAGTCAGTAGCTTTTCTAAAACTAACTACTGGTACACCAAGTGCTAATTATGGGTGATTTGGGTAAGAGGTGAGTAGTGCCAATATTGTTCCATCCCAGCAGGTCACCCATGATCTGCATGTGTCCTCATCCCAGATGACCTAGCCCCTCTGCTTACTTGTAATCTGCAGGTGGCTTGAAATCTGGATTGAGTGCAACCATCTCTGTGATGAGGTTGTGCCGCTCCTCTTCCAGCTTTTTGCGGGTGCGGAACTCTCGGGTGTTAAGCCGCTTCCCCTCGCTATTGTAGATGGGCTCAGGGGAAGGGGACCTGTGGGAAACAGACTCCCGTTTACTATTCTGCCCCGACTTCTCTCATTCCCACACGGACTATAACAAGTCTTTCCCAGCCCCTCTGCCTCTCAGACCCTAATACAACACTCCGGAGGAACCGACCATAACGTGTGCTACTCAAGATCGTGTGGAATGGGGAGATGGAAGCTGGCTGAACATTAAGGGTCTGGGGTGTGTGTGAGAAAGGAAAAAAATAAAAGGTTTTGCATCTAGAAGTGATGAGAGAAAAAATGTCTATCCTTTGGGGAAAATCTCTGGACTGTAAGTGGCAAGGACAGTATCATCCCCTGGAGTCTTCTTGCCAAATATGGATTTTCTTCCATTTGAAAAAAAATTACAATATTCCAACTTTATGAACCACAGAAACCCCAAGTTTAGGCAAAATGTTCACTCTTGGAGAGCTAATGCCCTACGAGGAAAAGCTTCTGTACCCCTAACACATAGTGCGCATGAGCTCCTTATATGCAACTGGGACTGAAGGCTACTGCAGCTACTGGCCCCCACAATGGAGAGAGATGGTTCAAGGCTTCGTCTTTGCTTTTCCTTCAATGGCCTGGCTGGCTGTGTCCAAGGCCCAGGAGACAACCTGTTTTCTGGCTGTTCGAGGTTGGGGAGTCTGAGTAGAGAAAAACGTTAAAGTGCTAAAGCAGCTTCTGCGAGAGGCTGCAAATGCAGATTTGGTCAAATACTTGTCTAGGGTCTGAACCTGCAAACAGCAAGGGGAAAACCTATGATTCTCCACCAGAGTTTACAAGTCCAGAAAGCAGATTTTCTCTCTCTCATTTTTTTAAGGAGTAAAATGCTGTTGCTACAAGTAAAAAAATATAATGATAAAATGGTCAGTTTACCACAGCTGGATTTTGCGGTAATAAAAAAGAGAGGTTACACTCCTAGAATTTTGAGTTAAGATTACAAAAAGGACCATAGCTTGATATTCTGAATGAAAATTTAGTAGCAGCTGCAAGAAGGGAAGAGACCATGTGGATCAGGTTATTAAAAAAACATCCTGAAAGTAGTCAAGACTCCTATACCCTTGGTTTAGTTGAGAGAACCTTGCCTAGTTGGAGAGCAAGGACTGAACTCGGCTGCTCCCACTGTCTTCAGCCTAAAGGGAACCATGTCACACCACGTTACACACACGATGGAATAAAAGGTCAGGTTTGTTCATGGCTAATGACGGCTAAATGACACCTCCGTTTCTAGCATTTGTATAAACTGTTAGCACAATCCAGTAAAAGTGAACAAAAGCAAACATACCCCAGCTCATTAGACTACCATCTTATACATTTAAGTCTACAAGAAAAGTTTTAAACATGTTTTACTGTGCAAGTTAAGCAGCATCGAAATGACAATAAAGTGGCTTAATTGATATAACACCTTTTTAATAAATTATCTTAATTAAGAAAACCCATGCATTTCCCTCCAACCTGGGCTCAAAAGCAAAACCAATCAGGCATTAGGGCCTCTTTCAAAACTGAATACAAGGGAGGAAAAACCCTGCTCTGGTTTTATTTCTAACATGCTTGACATTTCTAATTCCCACCCCATAGCTGTCTAGAATTAAGCACTCTTGGCTAGTTACAAAAACAAGTCTTACCAGCACCCAATTACCCAATTGGCCATGTGAAGGCCTCACAACAGTTTAACCTCTTCCCAAATTGCAGAAGTGAAAGGCAAAAACTAGTATTCTAGAGGTTAGACTGGCCCGACTTCTTCACCTCCAATAGGCATCGGCTAGATCAACTAAATTCTAATCCCAGTTATCCAGGAAGCAAAGAAGGTTTGTTAAAAATTCAACCTTTGGAGGAATTGACTGGTGACCTGTAGACATATTATTAAAGGGAAAAAGGCCAAAAAGGCACTAAACAGTTGTGGTCTATGACCTACAATGTAAATTTTTTAAAAAAAACTTTAAAAAGAAATGAAACACAACACAACCCTACAACCAAAATCTATCTATAGGTAAAATATAGCAAACGTAGTAAGTAAAATTAAAGAGTCAATATGCAGAAACAAGGAAGTTAATGTTTCCTGGCAAAGGGCGGAAGAAAGATGCATGAGTGAGTGACTTCTAAAGCCATTACATCATCTTCCTGATTTAAAAAGCTATTAACTAGGTAACAAAAGCCAAAAACACTACTTTTTAAAGCAAAGTCTTTTCAACTATGCTGTATGCACTAAGAGAAAATTCAGTGAGAGGGAGAGACTTACTGCCCTTCAAATTAAATGACCAATTTTAGCTGTTCAATCAGCTAATAAAACTCCAGTTTAAAAAAGTTCATCTCCCCCACACAAATTATTTTTCTGAGGTGAGAGAAACTGCAAATTGAAATGACATGACCACAGCTGTTTGAGGCCCACGCTCCCTTTAAGGAAAAAAAAAAAAAAAAGTAATTTAGGGTTGGTTGCATGCCTTCCCAAAATAGGTGAGAATATTCTGGCCCCTCCCAACACCCCCAAGGCAATGGCCAAGGCTGAAAGTTAACTGGCAGTGAAGGAAGTTGGTTAGAAATCTCATCTGATTTTGAAACCATCTCAAAACCATGAGCAGAAAGACTGCAGCAATGAGCGGACCAGAGCTCCTGGCTTGCTCAAGTTCAGTGATGCTCAAAAATATTTTTAGTCCCTGCACCGTGTACCTGTGAGAAAAACTCTATGCCCTGGGCTTTCGGCCAAAGCAGGTACTGAAAAGGCAGGTTAACAGGTCACCTCACTGTCCCTAAGGGTGGGTAAATCAGGTTAAGATCTACATGCTTACCAATTGGAAACCAGTTGTCCATTTTCCTGTAACTTTTATTCTCCCAACATTTAAGTTTTATTCCAATTTTCTAACTGTTGACTGACCATACATTATTTCTAATTAAACCTTAATCCCCAGAGTGGTCAGGGTACAGTCGTCATACTAGGATTTTATTGAACTGACACAATATGTTGCCACCAGTAAAACGTATTGAGAAAAAGGTAAAAGCGTTACTGTCAGCTGGTTAAAACTGTTTCCCAACCTGTCCTCAGGGTTAGGGGGGATGCCCAGGTCTCCTGTGCGCAGTTTACGAGTCAGGTCTTCTATCTGCAGTTGCACTGGAAGAAACCAGGTTAGGAAAGAAAAAAAAGGATGGAAAAAAGACAATGTTACCAATAAACATCTCAAATCTCAACAACAAGCATGAAGAACTCGGAGACTTTGAAAGGGACGATTGATCAGTGAACACATTGAAGCAAAAACCCCCAACCACCTATCGGCAGGAGTCCTTTTACATCTATAGGTTTTTTTCACTTCAAAATGGTTATCACTTAAGGAAGCAAACAGTTTGTTGGAAGAGGGGTTAGCAATAAAGACTGTTCACTAAGGCTAACATCCAAGCAATTACGAGGTGTTTCACCTCTTCCTCCCCACCAAGGCTTGCTTACAATTGGTACCCAGAACCAAAAACCATGTTATGTCACCAATACCCGATTCCCATCAAATTACTTGAGGGCAAGAATTGAGTTTTTCTTCATTAAATATTAAACATAGCCCAAAATGAGACCCAATTAACATGGGACAAGGAAAAATACCATTTGAGCAAAGATCATTTTCATTAATACCGCATTTAAAATTCCTTAAATAAGACATTTAACAACAAAATTCAACACCTTACAGAATTTGTACATACTCTTTCTGTACAACCAGACCTGTACTAGTAAGGGTCTCCCAATACCTGCAGCTTTTATTCAATTATACGAAATATTTATTCAAACATTAAATGACAAACCACATATCTTAATAAACCAGTAACCATAAAGTGCTAAGAATTTCTTTTCAGGCTCGCTATTCATATGGGGAGCAGGCATGTAGAAGAATGGAATGTGTGATCAAGGACAATGTACGTGGCTCTCGGGCCTTGACCAATGAGGCTGTGCATGAAAAAGAGAGATGAGGGTTTCACAAAAGTTGCCAGTGACTCCAGGGAAATGTTACACGGCTGATTTTCCAAGATAATGGGAACTGCAGAGCCAGAGCAGCTTTCTTCAACGTGCGGAATAACCACCTGTTCCTTACCTTCGTAGCATCTGAGAATTTTGAGCAGGCATCTCCAATAAGGGCAAGTGTTACTAGGTTGCGTTAAAATTGAGCTGGTTCCAAGATAGGATTAATGCATCTAACCAAAGATTGCTTCTAACTTTAAATACATCCACAGGACTATACCACACCCACACACTAAAACCCTGAAGAAATGAAAACCCATTATTATCGAAAGATACCGGCCAGACGCAGTGGCTCACGCCTGTAATCCCAATACTTTGGGAGGCCGAGGCGGGCAGATCATGAGGACAAGAGATCAAGACCATCCTGGCCAACATGGTGAAACCCTGTCTCTACTAAAAATACAAAAAAAAATTAGCTGGGCGTGGTGGCGTGTGCCTGTAGTCCCAGCTACTTGGGAGGCTGAGGCAGGAGACTCACTTAAAGCTGAGAGGAGCAGGCTGCAGTGAGCCGAGATCGCACCACTATACTCCAGCCTGGCGACAGAGTAAGACTGCGTCTCTCCCAAAAAAAAAAAAAAAAAAAGACACTGAGGGCATCCTGGACAAAGCAGTATATACTGTGGAAGACAGAAAATTAGTGAGACACATGGCTCCCCAAGCTCCTTTATACTAAAAAATTCTGACTTTGCAGTTGAGTATTAAGCTCAACACCTCGAGGTGAGAGTCACCTTCACTGAGAGGGGAAGGTGAGTCTTCCTAACTGACTATGGAGATGCGTGGCCTGATCTAAATAAAAAGGGTCATTTTCTTCTGTGAAGAACTACACCTCTCCTTTGATTCTATCTATTTTGATTATAGCTATAAATAGCCCTTAGGGCCCAGTGAACTAACCAGCCCTCCACAGAAAGAGAAATGGAGAGATGTAAGGAATTTGTGCTCTTCCCATTTTCTAAGTATGCTTGTGTTCTTGGGATATCACTCCGCTAGGGGCATTTCACAAGGTTGTAAAGACCCAGAATGGTCTAATATGAGACATAAGGGAATGGGTGGGAGTAGACAGGAACAGCAGGGGAAAGAGTAAGTATTAGTAATACTGTGAAAGGAGACAGACAATTCCAACGCCTCAAAATTCTCAGCAGTCTAAAAAACAGGAAATTAAGACCCTCAATAGTAGTAACATGCTGGCCTTGAAGCGTTTTGGTTGTGAAGGCCACAGCCTCGTAGGCTTAGGAGGTCTTTGCCCGAATTTCCTCCAAAGGGGATGTTTATTTAGTTAGTAGAAAATGTTTATCAAGTGAACTTTTTTGAGACAGCTTTAAAAGGTAAAACTTTCATTAAAAACTTTTTTTCAAAAAAGCAATTTTGAAGTTAATTTCAATTCCACTGTGGACAGTCATTCTTAATTCTCAAAACCTCCCAGCAGATAAAACCTTTTTATCCTAGCACTTCATTCCATATCCATGCAATATCCCTTTCCCAGCAGAGTTAAGAGTAAATACAAGAGCCTTCATTTTAAGACAGCTCTCCATAAACCAAACCAGAAAAGATGTTGAAGGGAAGGTTAAATTCTTAAATTCAAGAAAATAAAAAGGGATAAATTGTAAACACACTTTCAGAACCACTTTTTGTCAGTTTTTTTTTTTCTTTCAGAAAGTACCTATAAAAAGTAAAAGACCACATTTTAGGGGGAGAAATATGAAATTATGGTGAAAGGCCATGCTGTGAAAAGTACTTGGTTTACAGTACCTGCGGTGTTCTCCACTGGGGCCTGTCCAGAGAGGCAGATGACACTCACCTCATCAACTGGCAATGAACAGCAGCAGCTGAAAAGGGTGGGCTGCTGGTCTGGGGACTGTTCTTACCCCTAAGTGAGACCCTACCTTCCTGACACTCATGGAGAACACTGCAGTTATGAACAGACCAAAACAAGGAGCTGCAAATGCAGAACTCACTGGGCAAAAACTGACAGATGATACCAAAGTCATGAAAATATCTCATCTCAAAAGAGATAACTACAATCTCGAACTTTCAAGAAATGCAGATCTTGCTCAGAATAAATCGTAACAATCTCAAAGTGCATTTGGATGCAGAACGTATATTTACCTATATAAGCTCTTTCTTGTTCTCGAGTAAGTCCAGGGGGAATAACTGTAGGCATTCCCGGAATCACTGTCTTCTGTTCCATTGTGTCTTGGTTCCAGCGGCTCCTCTTCCGCTTCTTACTTGGGAAATCTAAAGGCAGAGACAAAGCCCATCAAATGTAAATATAAACAGTTACCAACAGACAGTTAAGGGTATTTAAGGTACTACACAGAAACTCAGCAGATTGTGAAACTGAGAGCTTAACCTAAAACTTAAACAGCAAAAAACCAGAAAACAAACCTCAGAGATCAGAGATTTAAAGCTTATGGCCACTACAAGGGTATGTGGTCCTGGGTCAGGCAAGTTAACATTTCACCTTCTTTTGTCTAGAGAAACTGTCAAATATGTAAACGTGGTAATCTTAATGTATACGACTGCAGAGTGTGTTAGATATATAGTACATCAACCATGAGTGCTCTGAAATCCCCAGGGGAGACACAAATACACTGAAGAATCATAGGTTTGTAAAGCAGCCCTGATGGGACTGGGGGCTCCGCCCACCTCCACTCCCCTCACCAGTCACTTTTCTATGAGAGGCAGGAGGAAAGCTAAACCTAGTTATACCCTACCAAGTGGGAAAAGCCCAATTCTTCAACAAGATCACTTTTGTCTTCGTAAGTTTGGCCAAGATCAGCATTCAATTTTCCTGGCCAGTTGGACACTCAGAGTCTGAACTTTTAAAAGGATCTATCAAAAATTCAACAAACAACAACAGCAGCCAAGTTGTCCTTTCCCCATACACAGGCAGAAACTCCCTACATTTAGCACAAGAGTCCTTCTATTTCCCAGGCGATACACGATCAGAAGGAAAAACTTTTTAAAACAAAGTGACAGGAGAGCCAGTCAGACTGAGATCTAAGGATACTGAACGGAGATTAAAAAACTAGAGTTCTCTCCCCAAAAGAGACCAAAAAAGATCAGACCCAACCATCACCTGAAGCATGCCAACCTCTCCCGGATGAAAACCTTATACAAGCAGAGCAGCTATCCTTGGTATGGTTCCCATTCTGGCTCCTCAAGACCAGAAAGGAGCCGCCGCACATCATCAGGTGAGGCTTTCACACCCTGCTGGCATTCACAACCAGCACCCCGTCCAGTGCTGAACATCCGCCACCCCTCTTCCCCACACCAGCGGACTGAAGGGCAATAGGGGGCCCCGAGTCTATAGAACTGCGCCGCACAGCCCAGCTACCTCACTGCGTCTGCGCACAGAGCGCCTCCTGCCCGCCCAGCCCTCCCCAACAGCGCGCGTGCGCACTCGAGGCCCTAGAACCAGGCC